GCAAGGAGATCGAGAAGGCGTGCCAGGGCATCTACCCCATGCAGAACGTGCACATCCGCAAGGTCAAGATGCTCAAGAAGCCTAAGTTCGACCTCACCAAGCTGCTCGAGGCGCACGGTGACTCGGGCCCCGCCGCCGCCGCCGCCGACACGGGCGACAAGGTGGAGGTGGCCGCCGACGCGGACCCGGCGGCGCGGCCCGACCGCGGCGCCGTGCTGTAAGCGCGACGCTTGAGGGCTTGTGGAGCGGCGGGCGCCCTGAGCAGCGTGTTGCAGGGTGCGCACGATCTGGCTGGGCTGACTGCTTGTGGAGAGTGGGTGAGTCCGTGCCTGGACGGATAGAAAGGTATTACAGTTGAAACCTATCGAGAACTGCGGCGGTCCCTCCCTGCGGCCGCTCCGCTCGAGCTCGCGGTCTAAGGTCTATCCACTATCTATCGCGTCTTTACAAATCGTTATTTAGCCGCTACAGACTACACACGACAGTGTGAGAGTAGAGAGAGATTTTTAGCAATACCAAACAACTCTAACACTCACTCACACGTCATTTGGGGCCTGGAGCTGGACACAGTGTGTGGTTGGTTAAGTGTTATAAGTGCCACTGGCACTGCTGGTGGTTTGCTGCGCACGCCACTGTACATTGATCAGGTGATATCACTGTCAGCCGCGCATTGCGGAGGACGACTCACACGTTCTCTCTCCGCGGGCGCACACACTCCAACACACCCCCACTGGAGGCGTCCGTCGGTTTCACGGCGCAGCTGCCACGCGCACGTACGCCGCCTTTTGCACCCAAAGCGGCCAAGGTTCAGTGCGCGCACCCGCCCCCGAGGTGCTCACAAACCCGTCTTTTGCACGTCCTCTGAGATGGGACGGTTAACATTGCGGGGCTCCAAGTCGTCGCGGAGCTCGGCGGGCGACGGCGACTCTGCGCGCAGCGCGAGCGAGTCGCCTGCAGCTGCACCGGCTGCTGCAGCACGGGACCTCGGCGAGGCTTCCAATGCGGCAGCTGGTGAAATCTCTGGTGCCGACAGCGAGCGCTCGACGAAGCGCGGTGGCGTCATTGGTGCCGTGCGCAATGTCGGGAGCGCCGTGTACAAAGCGCCGTCCTCGATCAGCAATGCGAAATCACGAGCTCTCGCAAAGGTCGAACCACGCCTGCCCTGTCACCTGCCAAAGAGCTACTCGCCGCGTGCGCAGCCCTACGGTCGCTGCAGCATTTAGTGCACTGACCCAGCTGCCTACCGCCCCCGTCGCAAAGGTCGACCAGAAGCACGACGAGATCCTCGAGGCGCAGCTCACGAAGATCATCAACAAACCCGCGTCGATTCTTCGCGTCTGAGAGATTGAACTGGAGCCTCTAGGGCCGCACACGCGCTCGTCACCCTTAGTGCATATATTGAAAGATCTCGCTTCTCCGCCCTCTGTGCTGTGCTGCTGTCGCGTCATATGTGTCGCGGGCGGTGTGCTAGTCGGTGCGCACATGCGACACATGGAGAGCGCGCATGCGTGCGTGCGCGGTGATATCGCGCGGGCCGGCGAGGCACATGCCAGGCCACCGAGAGCGCGGAGAAGGGAGAAGGCGCCGGGGCGCGCCGGCGCGCGGGCCGCGGTCGGGGACCCGCCCGCGACCGTCCCGGACAGCGACACGGCGGAGATAGGAGCGACAGCGAGTCAGGGAGGGAGCGCGCGAGAGACGCTCCACAGGAGTCTCCGTCGCTGCGAGCTACTCGATGATGCGTGAGGCGTATGATTGCTGGTTAATGCACACAATGACACAACAAAATCTACGAAATTGGCGGCGCCTCCTGCGTGGCATGGACCTGCGTCTCTCCTCAGCGCCTCTTGCCGGCGTTCGCGCGGCTTTTTCGAGAGCACTGAATCATGATGGCAGGTCTCAAGCATCTCAAGCGGGCGCGCCAGCCGTGCCCTATGGCAGCAACTCTAGATGTCGCTGTTGATGGAAGCGTCAGCTGTAAGGGCTGTCACGATGGAGGGGTTGGCAACGAGAGTGCCGAGAGCGACAAACACCGAAGCGATGATGGCGCGGTTTTGCGGCGTACCCTTCGCCTTGATGAAGGAGAAGACGCCGCCGCCCTGCAGGTCCGACCCCGTCACCACCTGACACAGCAGCCGGCTGTCACGGATCCGAGATCGTTTGCCTGGTGTGGGAGGGACCGCTCTCGGCACCGTTTTGGCGGCACTGACGGCGGTCATCATTGATCATCCAATGAACATGTCGGGGCCGCCAGTGGAGCAGCGCGGCGCGCTGGTGATTACCGGCACGACGGGACGTGCAGGCGTCAGAACCAGTGCGGAGCCTGGGATGGTGAGAGCGAGGAGCAGCGTGCGAAGGAGGTTTGCCATGCTTCCTCGCGCTTCCCGGCAAATTCTTGCTGGCCTCGCTTTTCGCTTTCTTTTTCGGAAGTTTGAGGGCCCAACTTGAGAATCGTGCTTTTTTGGGTTAGGGATGAAGGCGAAGGACCGATTACGGTGAAGGACCGCAGGTTAGGGACCGATCGCCGCCGCTCACGCCAGCGGACGGCCGTCGTCAGTGATGTTAGCTACGCCACCGTCTGCCTCGTGCGACATGCGCTCGCCGGCATCGAGCGAGCAACGTGTTCGACCGACCGGCTTGCTGTGTGGACGGCTTCTTGTGGCTCTCTCGTCGAGAGCGTTTTGCGGCCCGGCGGGTGGGAGAACATGTGTCGTTTGATGTGTCACTGTGTACCTCATGTCAGTCTTGATAACAAGTACGGTCGATCCGTCAAAGCGATACACACGTCACGATCACGTTGGACGGCTTGCACGGAGCTCTGTGCCGGCACGCACAGGAAGAGCCGTACGGCAAGAAGAGCTCGATGGGGAGCGAGAACCGTCAGAGGAGGTTTAGGTGGAACCTGAGTCCTCCGTGACGCGCTCAATCGCTCCCAAGCGGGTGGCTCTCGAAAATCGTCGATATCTTCCGAAAAGACTGCTCTTGCCGCAGTGCAGCCGACGCGATGCAGACGGAGGCGCAGAAAGGCTACGAGTACTCAACGAGTTCCGCGACCTACGCAGTCAAACCTGGGGGGAACTGACCGCATCAAGGCGGACTTCCGAAACCTGGGTGAGCACCTTTGGCGATTCTCGCTCCCCATCGAGCTCTTCTTGCCGTCGGCTCTTCCTGTGTGCCGGCACAGAGCTCCGTGCAAGCCGTCCAACGTGATCGTGACGAGTGTATCGCTTTGACGGATCGACCGTACTTGTTATCAAGACTGACATGACGTACACAGTGACACATCAAACGACACATGCTCTCCCACCCGCCGGGACGCAAAACGCTCTCGACGATAGCCACAAGAAGGCGTCCGCACAGCAAGCCGCTCCTCGGAGAGGCGAGCTCGCTCGATGTCGGCGAGCGCATTGCGCACGCTTTGGACGGTGGCGAAGCCAATAACACAGATGGTGGCCGTCCGCTGGCGTGAGCGGTGGCGATCGGTCCCTAACCTGTCGCTCGCGGTCCCTAACCCAAAAGTGGTCCTTCGCGCTTTGGTCCCTCACCAAAAAAGCTCGTTTCTCACGTTGGGCCCTCAGTTTACTCACTTGCGACTCGCCGCTTTCCTCCCGCTGTGATGTGTGTGAGCTCTGTGCTTGATCTGCTAAGAAGAATCTCAAGCAAAATTCCCTTTCTTTATGTGTGTGCCAGTCCGCGCCAGTCTGCGCCCTTGTCGTGCCAATATCTTTAGAATTCTTTATCCGTGGATTCCCTTTTGGCCATCGCACACGTCTTCGGAGAGTCTTCGAGGCCTACTCGTACCTGTCGCTGTGCGTCTTCGGAGAGTCTTCGAGGCCTACTCGTACCTGTCGCTGTGCGTCTTCGAAAAGTCTTCGAGGCCTACTCGTACCTGTCGCTGTGCGAGGAGTCCATGCTCCACCTCGTTCGCTCCGACCCTTCGGCCGATAGACCTGAGTGGCGGCCTTACGTCTTCTCGCGACACCCGCTCGCTGTGGCGTACAGATACTCCGCGGGTGGCTACTCGTTTGCTGGCCTGCTTCTGCTGCTCTTCGCTGACCGTATGCGATCTTACGACGCGGGCGTGTGGTGGTGCGCGCTCGGCATGGCGCTGGTCGTGCAGGGCGCTGTCGCGTATCTGGGTGACGTGCAGTCGTGGGGGCGGCCCTCGGTGTGGAAACAGCTGGATCCGCTGCTGGCGTCCACGCTCTTTCTCGCCTTTGGCCCTTGGCTCGGCGCTCGCTCCCTCCTCGGCCACTTCGTGGTTCCGAGATCCACGCTCAGCCTCTGGCTAGCCGGCTGTGCGCTCGCGCTCTTCGCCAAGGCGAAAGCGGCGCAGGCCTCGCGGCGAGCGGCGCCGCGGCTGGAGGAGATGTTAGCATGGCACACCCTGTGGCACGCCCTGCCCTTCCTCGCCGTGTTCTGCATCCTCGACCTGGCCTTTATGCTGACCTTTGCTGGCTCAGAGTTCGCGCGGGCATGAATGTGTGCAGCAGAGTGCGCGATTATTCGGCCCGGCCGATTCAGGTATGCGCGATGCGACTGTACTCACTACTCTTCACAAAACTTCGAGAGAGACAGGCTCTCCAGCGTATGTGTATGTGTGAGCAGGAGGCGGGGGGGGCGGTAAATATGTGTACGAGAGCGACCGCGGGACACGTCAAGCAAGTAGTCGTGTGTAGAATAGCCCCTGATAGACACTACTGGGCTGGGTTTTTAGACACATTGTGGGGTTGGCACTCCCATCGACCCTCATGACCTCCTGCGGTCTCTGAGATGGACACCAGTGGGTGTGGGACCACAGCCAGGATACAATCGAAGGTTGGCCAAAGTACAGGTTTCGTCTTTCGATCCGGGCCACCGCAAATTTTGATCAGCAAATTCTTTTCGATGGCTCTCTGAAACACCCTCCGGTAAGTTCGGTGCGCCTGCCCGCGCGCGCCCGGGCGACTCGACGGAGCTCAGAGGCCGCGACGTGGACGGAGCACAGGCGACAGGGTTTTCAGGGACACGAGCCCGAGCAAGCTCTCGGCCTCTCGCGTCGGCAGCACAGGCCTGCACGTGGCAGCTCAGCACTGTGTACTGATACAAGTGGCTCGGCGCGCGTCGCTCGGTGAGGCGAGCAGACGGATGCAGCTGGGATGACGGCGTTCGCGTTCGCAGCCAGCGGGGTGAAGGTCGGGAACACCCCGGTGCCCCCGCGCCCACGACTAAATCTTCTTGGGCAGCAGCTGGTTTGACAGGTCATCTCCGTGGCCTAGGCAGGCGTGGTCGCCCTCACCCCAGGTGAAGACGGCGCTGTCGGCGGTGAGGGCGAGGCTATGGAACCGTCCAGCCGCGACAGCGACGACGCGCCGGCCAGCAAAGGCCTCGATCTTCTTGGGCTGCCGCTGCATCTGCTCGTCGCCGTGGCCCAGCTTGCCGTCCCCTCCACCACCCCAGCTCCAGACGGCGCCGTCGGTGGTGATGGCGAGATTGTGGTGGGCTCCAGCCGAGACCGCGACAACGCGCTGGCCAGCAAAGGACTCGACCTTCTTCGGCAGCAGCTGGGTCTGCTCGTCGCCGTGGCCCAGCTGCCACTGGCTCTGCTGGTCGTCGTGGCCCAACTGGCCATTGGCTCCCCAGCCCCAGGACCAGACGGCTCCGTCGGCGGTGATGGCGAGGCTGTGAGCGGTCCCAGCCGAGACAGCGACGACGCGTTGGCCAGCCAAGCCCTCGACCTTCTTCGGCAGCAGCTGGGTCTGCTCGTCGCCGTGGCCCAACCGGTCATTGGCTCCCCAGCCCCAGCTCCAGATGGCGCCGTCGGCGGTGATGGCGAGGTTGTGAACGGATCCAGCCGTCACAGCGACGACGCGCTGGCCAGCAAAGGCTTCGACCCTCTTGGGCAGCAGCTGGTGCTGCTGGTCGCCGTGGCCCAGCCGGCCAAAGCCTCCACCGCCCCAGCTCCAGATGGCGCCGTTGGCGGTGATGGCAATGCTGTGATTGGCCGCAGCCGACACAGCGACAACGCGCTGGCCAGCCAAGGCCTCGATCTTCTTCGGCAGCCACTGGTGCTGCTTGTCGCCGTGGCCCAGCTTGCCGAAGTCTGCATCGCCCCAGCTCCAGACATTGCCGTCGGCGGCGAGGGCGAGGTTGTGGCGGTCTGCAGCCGACACACTAACAGCGCGCTCACCCAGCATCGACGGGAGTCGGGTGGGCGTGTTCAGCCGCGTCACACCCTCGCCGTGCCCAAGCAGTCCCGGCAGCCAGCTCTCAGCCATTCCGCACGACGAGAGCCGCCCCTCGCCGTCAATGAAGAGGCTGTGCCAATGGCCTGCCGCCGCCCTCGCCGGCGGGTTGGACTCGCACAGCAGCGCCGAATAGCACAGCCACCGCACGGCGCAGCCCTCGTCCTCAGGCTGCGCCGGCAGCTCGAAGCCGCGCTCTTGCGCCCACAAGCGGATGGCCCCCGCCGCGAGCGCGGCGTGGAAGAGGAGCGAGACGGCCGCGACGCGAGCGATGTCGACGGGGCTGTCGCAGCGAGCGAGGGCGCGCTCGAGGAGCTCGGTGGGGAGGTCGAGGAGGCAGGCAAGCGGCGGCGTGCCTGGCGGGCGTGCGGCGGCGGAGGAGGAGGTGGCGAGGCGGCGCGAGCGGCGCCGCGGCGGGGCAGACATCGCGAGAAAAAGAATTCCCGTCTCAGCCCGCCGACCACACTCCTCTCCTGAAAATCCCTGTGTGGTGGCGGCGTGCCGTCCTCCCATCCCTCCTCTGGGTTGTCCGTTTTCTTCCTTTCCCCCCCTTGGGTTGTGTTTGCTTTCTTTCTTTTTTTCCCCCGCCGCCTCCTTCCTTCCCGCCGCCCTCTCTGTCACCGCCTCCGCCCTCGCCAACTCCTTCCACGCCGCCTCCCCTCCGCCTCCTCCCTCGCC